TGACTGTATGGCTGGCTGGCTGACTTGTGGGGCTGTCCTGGTCCCCCAGCGGCCTCCACTGCAGTTCCCCGCCTGCAGTTCCCTGGCTCAGCCCACAGATGGCAGGTGGCCGCCTTGCAGAGCCACTCCCCTGAGAACCTGGCAAAGCCACCGGGGTGTGTGTGAGAAGTACCCGCGGAGAATTCCTTTCTAAATAGGCATCTTGGGAAGAGAAGTCTTGGCTGGCAATGTCAGATCTGGAGCAGCGATAGGAGGGACCCCGCTGGCAGAACAGCGGGCAGGCAGGGCTCCCAGCCCTTGAGGTGGACACCCTGGAGCGGGGTGGGGGAGGGCAATCCGGGCTCAGGTGGAGGTGGGAAGAGGAAGCAGTAAAAGCTGATCCCTCCACACCACCCCCCCCAACCCCTGCCACTGAGCAGAGCCAGAGGCCAGCCCGACCTTCACATGCCTTATTTGAAGATCCTTTTAACGCAGCCGGTTTGGCTGCAAAAAGAGGAAACCTCGCTTCTCCACTTGCTGTTGTCAGGGGACCTGTCCAGACAAGGGAAGACTCCTGTCCTGGACAAGCCAGTATTCACTGGACCCTGAACAGCGTCATCAGCCTTCATTGTAGTGGCTTAGAAATGGCTTAAAAAGAAAGAAAGAAGTATAAACCACAAACAGCCTACAAAAAGGCGAGTGTACCCGTTTTGCCAGTAGAATGACTGGCTAGCTTTAGAAAATAGGGTTAAGTGAAATCAGGGTTCTCCAGAGACTCAGAACCAACAGGGTGCGTGTGTGTGTGTGTGTGTGTGTGTGTGTGTTTACTGGAAGGAATTTACTCCGTGTAATTTGGAGGCCGACCAGTCCCAAGGTCCGCAGGCAGGGTGAGTCTGCACATCAGAGACCCAGGACAGCCTGTGCTCCATTTCCAAGGTCATCGGGCAGGACATAAAGTTACCCACATGGACCCCCCCACCTGAGCTCACTGATCAGCTACAGTCAGCAGGCCCAGAGTGGGCCCAGAAAATCAGTGTCTCCTGGTTTCGGACGAAATAAGGATTCTTGTCCCTGGGACAAGATCTAGGCTGGCCGATCCGTTTCCCGAGGCAGCCATAGCCAAGTATTTACTAACTACGGGGCTGAAAACAGCAAAAAATGCACAATATTCTCTCACAATTCAGAGGCATCTCTGAAAAGCGAGGTTTGCGTTAAAGATTCTCTTGAGGAAAGCTAGAGGACCGGGTCGGTGCCGCCTACCCCCACCCTTTCTCCCCCAGCCCCAGGCGTAGCTCTAAAACCCTTGCCAGGGACTGTGCGTCCGGTGCCCTGTCTCTCAAGTCCCTCCTTCGGAATTAATGAGCGCAGGATCGCAGCCCTGAACAAGCTATGCTCTTTGAGCACATAGTATTCAAATCATGCAGGAATTTCTCAAAAGCAGCCCTGCGAGTTGCAGCAGGAGTTGTCCTTCGAGGAGAGCAAGGCTTCCCTGCGGGGCGGGGGGAGGACCTGCCCGGCGGAAGGGGGCAGGGCTCGGAGGAGCGGCGGCGGGGCGGGGAGCTGGCGCGGCGGGGAGGCCAGAGGCTGGGGGGTGGGGGCGGGCGGGGTCGGAGGAGAGGATGGGGTGGGCGGCGCGGAGGTTGGTCTCCACCGCCCCTTCACCGTGGGCTGGTCAAGCCGGAGGGCCTCAGGGCCGCTGGCTTTACTCGGGACCCGGGCCTTGCTCGGTCCCAGACTATTTGAGCCATTCGCTCCGGAGTAGAGTGTCGGGCACGCGCTGCCCCCGACCCTGAAGAGACGGGGTTACGCTTCACGCAGCAGTGCGCCCACCAGAGGCGACAGATGCGCGACACTGTACTCACCCAGCACACGCCGGGCGCCCTGTCTCCTTGAAGCCCCACTGCCATCCTAGGAAGGGACCCCTGTTCCCCCACTGCAGGGACCAGCCAAGTCGCCCAAGGGCCGGGTGCCGGGATCCCGCCCAGGAGGGTCCTCGTTCCAGCCTTGGCCTTGGCCTGCAGGGTCGGTCCGGCCCCCACTGTGGGACGCAGAGGCAGCTCCGGCCCTCGCCCGGCTCGCGGGGCCGGCGCGTGGTGATAGGTGGCTGGGTGGGGAAGGGGACATCCGCTCGCGGCCGGGCACACCCGGGGACTTGGGCGGCGGAGGCCTCCCCTATTGAGAAGCGCTGTGCCCGGAGGACGCGGACTTAATTCTTGGGGAAAACGCCCGTGGAAGCCCGGCGGCTGGCACTTCCCGACCCTCCCCTCCCCACCAGCGCTCCCCGCCGGGCAGCGGTCTCGGGTCAGCGCGCTGCCCTCGGGCCTCGATCTCCCCGCAGCGCTTGGCCTCGAGCCCCGGGGCGCGCGGGGTCTGTCTCGGTCACCTGGCACCACCCCCACTGGCGCTTCTGGGTCGTGCTGTGTTCATCCTCACGACCTCCGCGATGCAAAACTCGCACCATTATTCGCCTGACGCTTTTCTTTCACTGGGTCATTTTTTAACCTAAAATATATTGAAAGTGAAACTATGCTTTGATGAAAGGTTTCATTCAATATAAATTATTGACACTAGTGCGCTCCATCGTTTCGGAGATTGTGAGTGCTTACACAACTGTGGGTCAGATTTCTTTGTTCATTAGGAAAGTTTCTACAGCTCATCAAGATGGAAAATTCAATTAATATTCAGTTTGTCCTAGTTAGCATTCTGTTAAGATTTATTATATTTTAAAGCTAATGTTGAAAGCTTTAAATTTTAATTCGTATATGCTTAATCTCACTGTTTTGGGGATTTTTTTAAAGAAGGGTTACAAGTTATAAAACATCTTTAGTTAAAAAAATGACAGCTGTTTATATTTTGTGCCTTTTCACGATTTATTTAAAGCATTTCAACTAAATGATTTGCTGTGTTCATTTAAAATCTTCTCACCCAGTGTGCATTTATTATGTTAAATATTTTCCCAACAAAATAAGACGAAATACTGTCTCCTCTTTTGACACTTTAGTCTCATAACTCAATGTAATACCAAATGTCTTCTATCTACCGATAAACTCTCCTTGGTGTGTCATTGATGGCCACAGAGTAACCACAAAGGTTTATCCGCTGGAATTATAAAATAAACAATGCTAAAATAATGATTAAAATATTGCCCCTGGAAGTTACTTTTATTCTTGGACTTGTCCCCTTACCTGCCAATGACCATTAACATAAACAACCATTACCTACAATCACAGAGGGTTTAGATAAAACTCTGCTGTCTTCACAACTCCCTGCAAGGGACTTTGTTTTTCTTTGACAGATGAAAACACTGGCCTCAGAGTGGACTGAGTGGCGTGTGTGAGGAGTGCAGCCAGGTCAGGAGCCGGGGCAGGGCCGGTCCCACCCAGCCCGGGCCGGTGATCTTTGTCCCCTCTCAGCTGGCAGCGGGCTGCTGGCTGTGGAGGCCTCTTTGGACTCTGGTGCTCTGGCTATGGAGCCCAGTGCTGAGCCTGCCACAGATAAGCCATAAATATTTGTCAAGGGAAGCGAGCGGAGGGTTAAATAAATGAAGTCGGCGGCTCCATTACTAAGCTGGTGTGCACTGCCAGCCACCGATGCTGTGCCTGCACCCGGTGAGACCAGAGTCCGCAGCGAGTCTTAGAGAAAGGGGCCTTGAGCTGAACCCAGGAAACAGCACCGGTGACTCATTTTCTAGTCAATTCATTTTGTCCCCACCCAAATAATGACAGTCTACTTTCAAGTTATCTTTATTTATTCAAAATCCCAATTATTTTTAAAATGTTGGTTTAAACGTTAAGTTACATTTGCTGCCAGCAAGCTTGAGATAACCATTATGCACCCCAGTCTCAAGGAAATCAGTTTTGATCCCGAGATTATGTAGCAGAGAATGTGGCCGCTGGTCTTCCTAAGAGGCCTGGGGACCAGCCCGGTTTGGTTCCCACGGAGGAGTACCCTCCACAAAGGGTACTCGTGGGGGAGGGGAGGCGGAGCGCTGTTCACAAAGCAGAGAGGAGCCCAATTATTTGATGTAAAATAAAATGACACAGGCTGGGTTAGGATCAGCCTCTCCTTTTTGGGTGACTAACGCAAAAATACAGCCAATGTCTTCGAAATGCTTCCTCTTTTATCTTCCCATCCTGCCCTCATTATTCATCTCCGTTGGCCAAGAATACGTCTCCGCTCACTGTACACTCGGACAGAAATGGGTGGTTTTTAGGTGTGAAAGTTTCCAACCGCGCTTTTCGACCTCTGACCCAGATATCTTTCCAAGAGTGGCCTAAATTCAGGCTGGAATATTTTTCTCTCAAATGTGGAAAAACCATCTTTCCTTTTCAAGTGATCTGATCTACATGTAAAAGAAACACTCCCCCCGCCCCCAAAGAAAGGGCGGGGAACTCCTGCTGTCTTCCGAACATTAGATATTGCTGTTGGGGTAATTATAAAAAAAGTTACTTCCAAAGTGAAAACTTGAGTGTAAAAAAAAAAAAAAAAAAAAGACGCGAATCTCCAGGGACTTAGGCTGAGTGGAAAAAGCCAGTTCCCAGCGATCCCGCACTACAGGACTTCTGTGTGCAAATACAACCCATTTTGAAATATAACAACTTTAGAAATAGAGTGATGGCCGGGACTTGGGAGTTCGGTTATAAAGGAATCACTGGAGGGTCCTTGCGTGATGGAATGTTCTATATAAAGACACTAACCTACGCAGGCGACAACGCTGTATAGCAGCGAAGGACAAGTACATCTGGGGAGTCTGAACAAGAGCCTAGCTGTAACACACAATATCCCAGCTGTAATACACTTTTTCCCTACAACTGCACGGGACGCTACAAAGATCTAAATTCACACGCCCGCTCGACTGCCGCTGCGCGCTGTGCCGGGTCCCTTCCAAGTCCCGAGCATCGGGGGGAGAAAGCAGTAACCCCACGCGCCCCTCGGTGCGTGTGCAGGGACCCGCTCCCGGGGCGGGGCCGGCGGAGGGCGGGGCGCGTGGAGGAAGTGACGTCTCGGGCGGGGCGCGCACCTGGGCACCTGGGCTGGTGCTGAGGCTCGGAGCGGCTCGGGCTGGGGGCGAGAGAGGAGCGATGGAGGGCGACAGCGGGGTCCCGTGGGCTCTGGGGCTGCTGCGCACCTTCGACGCGAAGGAGTTCGCGAGTTGGGAGAAAGTCGGCTCCGGCGGCTTCGGGCAGGTGTACAAGGTGCGCCATGTCCACTGGAAGACGTGGCTCGCCATCAAGTTGTCGTCGTCGAGAACTCTGCACGTTGACGACGGGTAAGCGGCCCAGACAAGGGGCGCGGCGGTGCGGGAGACGGGCCGGCCTGGGGTCGGGGTGCTTGGGTTCGGGGAGTCCCCTTCACCCGCGTTGCCTATGAAGCAGCCGCGGAGGGAAAAACCGAGCGCCCGCCGAGGCCAGGAAGCCCCCAGCGGTGTCCGCGCGGCTCGCCTGGCCGAAGCGGGAGCTTTGGGGAGCTCCCGGTCTAATTGCGCGCTCCGGGTCTAGGAGCTGCGGCGCCTAGTTGCGGCCTCGGTAGGCCGCGCTTGCCCGAGACGTTGTTAAAGCGCCCAGTGGTGCCACCCGCCTTCCGGTGAAGCTCCGGATTTTTAGGGTCGTGAGCTCCCCGGCGTCGTCGACCCGCGCCTCTCGGAGGCGCGTCCGGTCCTCCCGGGACCCACCTTGGTACTGCGGTCTGCGCCCGGCTTAGCGAAATTGCCGTGTGGGGATCTGGGCTTTGTGAGTTAGTGAGTCTCCGTTCGACTCACTTAGTAATTTACGCTGGAGCACAAATTGGTGTAAGACGGTAATTATTTCGGTCGGAAGCACTGGCTAGGCCAGGCCTCCTCGGCGCCCGGACACTTGCGCTGCGGTGCTTGGGCCTGGTGGTCCCAGTTGGTGGGTCCACTGTGGTCTGCAGAATTCGGGGCATGGGGATGCGAGGGAGGGCCTAGAGGAGCAGCTGTTGTTTGTTTTTCACCATTTGCATTCGCGTCCTAATCATTTATATGCACGCTTCAGTTGAGCACATTTAAATAATTAGTTGTCCCTGGATGAAGTTCGCATTCTGTGTGGAAGTCGTGTTTATGTTCTGCATGGAGCTCCCCCCTAGACATACACCCCAGACACAGGCAAACTCAGAAAAGCGGCTGCGATTAATCCCCACCTCGCCTTTGTGCCGACTGAGACCTGTCCTCTGCTTATTGAATAGCGGGGTCTCTTTTCATCGTAGGATGGTGGTGACCTTTGAGGTGACAGTGTGTCCCCATGACTTGAGGGACGTGCATGCCTTGTGTGCCTCCACAGCGTGTAGTGATGAATAATTAATACGCCTGGGAGAAGGGCCCAGTGCATCTTGGTGTTTTCAAACTGGCCTAGCGGACGGCGCAGGAGCGTGGTGTCCTTTTGCTGTGAGCCTCAAACCCAGTGTTTCCTGGAAACTTCAGTAGAGTGGTGACAAATGTCAAAAAAAAAACCACACCTGACTGGAGGGTGAGGTGCTGGGGAAGCCCTTTCCCCTCACTGCACCAGGGTTCCTGGAAGCCGCTCAGGTGGGGAGGGGCACTGTGGTTATTTTGATGAAGGGCAAACCTCTTTGAATACCAGCCAGTGAGTGTTTAGATCCTGAGAGGCAAGACCCTCTCCCTTGGGGTGTTTTTATGCTGTTGGGGATGTTTGTCTGATGGGGTCTTTCGGTGGAAGTGAGTTTTATTCATCAGTAAAGGTTTTACCAGCAGTTTTTTATACTGGAAGAGCCAAGTAAACAAGCCCAGCCCCCCTCCGATGAGTCAGCCTGCATCCTAGAATCTGTTATTTCCAGCGACTCTGCCCTTGTTTCTTGGGTGGCCCAACTGGAGGTAGGGTTTCTCCACTTGAGGCAGGTTGTTCAGAATCTTGCAGAGCCTGGTTGAAAAGTGTTTTGTCCTTTAACTGGAAGCCTTTCCTGCCCTGCCCAAACCAGGGCAGGTGGTGGCATGCATGGGGTGGCTGGGTCACTGTCTGCATCGCCCAATAGGAAGCCACTCACCCGCGCTCTGCCGGCTGCGCCTAGCAGGCTGGGGTTCTGCCTTTTCAGCAAAGGATGAGTGCTTCGTTTGAGAAGATGGTGAAAACACCTGCTCTTGGCCAAGAAAACAGCCCTGACTGAAGTGTTCACTGGGGTCGGCTTGAGTTTCTTGTTGGGGTTTGTGTCACTGCACCACAGTGCAGGGGAGCCGGCTGCAGTGCAGTTTTGCAGGGTTGCAGCGAGGCCTTGCCATCGGTCTGGTTGCCGGTCCTGCCAGGTACAGGCAGGTCGGCCTCATTGCTCCTTTGGTGAGCTGCCTTCCATCCCTGCTCCGCTCTTGGCAAGCTGTTCCCTGTTCCCTAGAGTTCCTGGGTGCAGCCCCCAGCCCCGCATCCCTCCAGGCTAAGTCTGGACTCAACCTGTCTGAAGGGTGCTGGGTTGCAGCCCCCTGGGGGGCTTTCCAGGTGCGATGTGAAACTGGCCCCTGTACTTAACTTGGAGGGCAGGCAGAGACCGGAGGAGGCAGACCACTCCAGATGAGGAGGGCGCAGGTGCAACAAACACGGCAACTGACAGCTCGTCTGGGGTGACCTTAGGACTTCTGTGCCCGCCCACCAAATCTTGAAAGTTCATGTAGAGGCCCTTCCCCAGCACTGGGCCTCTAATTTCCCAGGGCGATGGGAGTCCCTTTTGCCTCTTCCACTTGTTACACGGGGACCCACCACAGGTACAGGCGTGGGCCAGGCTGATCGTCATTGGCTGCTTGTATCTCTGGGCAGGCTGGAGTCTCTCGCCCTGCCCCCAGCCTTCCTGCCACTCCTTAGCCACAGCAGGGCCTCATCCCCGGCACCACCTCAGAGCCGCAGGCTGCCCCAGGCCTTGTGGGCCGGTACTTCTTTACTGGAAGGTGGGGGCTGTGCAGCTTCAGACACCCCCCAACCCCCACACCCAGGGCCCTGGAGCACAGATGGCACCCATCCTTCATTAGGGGGTCCTGGGGCCTGGGTGGAGTCTAGCGATGGGGGTGTCGCCATGATGCCAGGACTGGTGACTCCAGGGCCCCCCTCCTCCAGCCCCAGCCCTCGGGCGAAGAGAAAGCCCTGAGTAACCGAGCGCCCGGCTGGGCACAGGCCCAACAGCTCTGTGCCATAGGCGCCGGCTCGTTGGGACGAGCCCGAGCAGCCCTGGGCTCTGTAAGTACAGGGCTGACAATCCGACAAGCCCATTTCTTGTCAGTTTTAAAAATAGCCGTGTGGGAACCCTGGCTGGCTCCCTGGGAACGGAGCTGGGTTGGCGCGAGGTGAGAAGGCGTGTGGAGAGCGCCAGCTACGCAGGGATGACACCATTTCCCTGCCCCCTTTCCCCCAAACGCGGCTCCGGGCCTCTCCCTCTGCGGCGGGAGGGTTTTGTTTTGCTCCTGCAGCACCTTCCGCCGCTCCGTTCCGGCCCTTCTCTGTTTGCATAGGACCCGTCCCTGGGCTGCCCCTTCCCCCTTTCCAGAGTGAATGCTTCCAGAAAGGGTGGGAAGCATGGGAAGGCCTTGCTTTCCCTGCCAGCCCAGCAGCATCTCCAGCCAGTGCCTTAGAAATGGTCCTCCTGATGTTTATGCCTTTTCTCCCCCTCCCCAGTGCCCTCCCTCTAAGAGAAAACTAAATGAAACTGTCATAAGTGCTGTCGACAAAGGGACAAAGGATCGTTGACCCATGGAGGCCCCCCAGGTCCTCTTAATTCCCAGAGATTTCCTCCCCAGGTCCAGGGCAGGGCCCTGGGGATGGGGGCCCTTGCTCCCTTACTGGTGGGAAGCAGAAGTTGCACTCCTTCCCCAAACAGCCCAGGAGATGTTTTGAGATTACAGAAGAGGCAAGTCCTCCTGGATTGTGTCTAATTGTAGCTGTGCATTTAGCACGGCACAGTCGCCCGGGCGTCTTCAGGAAGGCTGGTCAGGGCGGGTCTGGGCGGCACGGAACCCCACTGCCAACAGTGAAGAACGGGGTTTGGTGACTGTTACCGTGAGCAAGGCTTGGGCCCTGGGCCCCCACCCAGCACTGGGGCCCTGGAACTGCTTTGAAAATCTCTCCAGGCCCGAAAATAATAATAGAAATAATAACAATCATAGTAGTAATCACAGTAGTAGATCCACCGTTCCTTTTGTGCGGTCCATGGAAACCAGAAACACTGCTTTGAGGGAAAGTGTTTAAAACATAATTGCCATTGACTGAAAACAATTGGTTGTTTCTCTCAGTGAGAGGGACACTTCCGTCCTTTCCCGCGGCTCCTGGAGAGGGCCCATCACAGGCTTATTGAATTGCAAATGCCGCTGGGAAATCTGATCAGGGAGGGCTGTAGCACGCCCCCCCAAGTTGATGGTGCCCCCTGGGGTCTGGGGGGGGAGGAAGTGCGGGTCCTAGCGGGGTACCCCAGGAGCCACTGAAGCAAGACCTGGAGCAAGGGGTTTGTTTGGATTCAGGTTTGGTAGTTACTGAAATATAAACAGGATGAGCTGTGTGTGTGTGTGTGTGTAGACTCTTTATGGGGCCCTAGTGAACCCCTCCCCCAGGACTGTGCTACACGGCTGGCCTTCGAATCCCCCTGAGCCTCCTGCTGGGCGGTCCCAGGATACTGTTCCTCACCCCAGGGACACGAGGTCACAGCAGGCCCCTCCACAGTAAGGCATTTCTTATTGAGCTGTCACGAGAGAAGGCAATTTGTCCCTGGAAACAATGACTTATTTTCCAGGAGAGCTGGTTTTCTTCGGAGAAGTGTCCTGTGTCATTGGTACAAAGCCTGCCTGGCATTGATCCCCAAGAGGGTGCGGGGGCTCTCAGAACGTTCCGGCTACGGATGAGCAGCTTTTGGGGGGAGCCAGCCAGCGGCAGTGGCTCTTCTCATGTGTTTTTTGAAGTACGGTAAATGGTTTGGTAGAAGGGCCCGGAGCTGGGGCAAGAGCAGTGCACCTGGCTGGACTGCAGGTGGGTGGGAGGGGAGGAGTGACATGCTGATGAGCTCAGTGATCAGAAGTCACCTGAGTTTTCTGGGTGCAGCCCTTTGGGCAAATGGAAGGAAACACTGTATTTGCAGGGTGGCTGAGGAGCTTTCACTTCCTAAGACGTTCAGCCATCGGGTAATTGACTTTGCTCTCACATAAGTTTATTATCAGTCAGGTTTGGCGTAGAGGACTCATTTAAAAATGTAGTTAACAACCCACATCCCGGTTTCCCTTTTTTCATGAGATTTGGAAATGTAAACCGCTGTGCACAGCTGGGGCAACGGCCCCGAGTTGCTGAGACAACTGGCGAACCAGCTACTTGCGCTGGGGTCGTGGGTGCACATTGTAAAGCAAGGTGTCTGGTTTCTGGTTGGTTAACAAATGTGTACTTGCAGCCCTTTCGTGCAGTAGATTGCAAGTTGTTGTTTCTCAAAAAAACAAAAAACAAAAAAAAACAATGATACAGGAGAAAATAGCTTTCCTGGATAGAAATACAGAATAGCAACATATCTGGATATCACCAATAAAGAATTCAGTTCTTTGAAAAGCAAAGTTTCCTTCATGGCCTTCCTCGTGGCTTGTCAGGCTCTGAAAGCTCGCACTGGGCTGGGGGTGTCTGCTCCTGCAGCAGGACACGCGCCACGCCCGTGGGCGCAGGGCCCCAGGAAGAGCTCAGTGGGTAGGGGCAGGCAGGTCACAGGACTGGCCTTCAGGGCATAGGAAGTGGAGGGGTCACAGGAAGTGGAGGGGCGGCGGGTGCTGAGCCCCGGCCCAGCCAGGGTGCTGGAGCAGTGGTAGTGCAGCTAGTCACACGGAGAACGACCCAGGTCTGGCGGGAGGAGGGATCTGGCCTGGGGTGACGGTGGTATCTTTTTCTCTCCTTTGTAAGTGGCAGGTTTCATCTTGAACAATGCTGGGCCTTCGCACCAGCCCTTTCCTCTCTCAGATGGCTGCCGCTCAGCATGGAGTTGGGAGATTGGGGGGGGTTGGGAGATTGCGGTTCTGGGGTCAGGGTCTGTGTCGTCCCGTGGCCTGACCCTGTGCTGAGGGTGCAGGGTGGAGCTGGCCAGGCCAGGCGGGAACCTATGGAGGCCCTGCTGCATGAAGTAGGGGGCAGCCCTCAGCCCTGCCCAGGGACCCCGCAGCTGGCAGGGTGCTCTTGTGGGTGCCCCGCTTCCCGCCAATTGGCTGCGTGGCCGAAGCACTAAGCAGCAAAGTCCGGCCAGACCTCTGTTTTGCTTTGTGGTGATGCTGTGATTCACTCCTGATTCGTGTTTCACTTGTTGCCAAGGCCAGCGGGACTCTTTGCTCTTGAGACTGTTAAAACCCAAACTTTTGACCACTCCACCCCAGCCTTCCCCCCTCTGCTGCTGCTCCCAGAAGTAGGGGACCCCGGGGGATCAGGGTGGTGGTCCTTGCTGCCTCTCTCCTCCATGGGCAGTCGCCCCCAGCCTAGGCTCCTGTGAGGGTCTCGGCCTCTGAGTTGCTCACCAGCCCTCCCTGCCCTTTCCCGCTAGCTAGAGGCCCCAATACTGCATCTTTCCTAGGTTTCTGGACCTGCCCTTCCCAGTACCTGGATTCCAACTCCCTGTGTTGCTGTAATTTTCCGTCTCCTCCCCTAGAAGATAAACCTGGTGAAGGTGTAGAAGGGTCCTCTCCATCCCCACTCTGGTATACAGAGGGTACTCTGTAATGTCCGTGAGTGAATTTTAATTAGATATGGATCAAACTTCAAGTGAATACTGTCAGTGCTTGAGTGGGTGGCTCCAGATCAGTAGTTTATTTTAAATTTGGCTGAAAATGCGCAGATTTGGTCTGTAGCGAAGGTTCTCGGACTCTCACCATTGGCACTTGTGATGTGGGGACTGTGCTGTGCCTTGTAGGATGCTGAGCAGCACCTCCGGCTGCCACCCTCTGCCTGCCAGTAGCAGCCCTCTTTTGTGACGACCACATGTCTCCAGACAGTGCCCAGTGACCCCTGGGGGCACAGTTACCCCTGGGCGAGGATCCGCTGGTCTGTACACAGGGTTCCTTTTCTGACACTCACCTGGGGCCTGCCCGGGAGTGTTGAGAGCTGGGTGCTGGCCTGGTAAGTAGTCTAATCTCGGCCCCTCCTCCCAGGGCACTGTTTTCATAACTGTCAGGGAAGTCTGGGAGCAGGCTGCAGTCTCAAAGAGGCGGCAGGTCAATAAGCACCGAACTCGTCTTGTCAGTGTGGTGTTGGACTCTCCAGCACGATCGTACTGGGGGCCAGGGGGTGGGGCGGGCGCAGGTGGGCGGGCAGGTGCTTCCGAGCTCCTGGGGACCCTGTGGTAGGAACTAGCCTGTTGTGGATTCTGGGCAGGACTGTGTGCTCTGGACTCTGAATCTGGGGAGGGGGGTCCCTGAGGCCGCCCCAGCCTGCTGCCTGTGTGTCCCTCAGCAGGCGCCAAGCTGCTCAGCCCCAAGCTCTTTGTGGCGTGTCTGGGCTTGTGGTGTTGAACTTTTCCTTCCAGAGCTGATGGGAAAGTAGTCTCCTCAGGATCCAGCCAGAAGGGCCTGGGAACCTGCATGTCGGCCTGCCTGCTGGGTGCTTTATACTGTGCCCTGGGAACCGCCAACGTAGATCGCACACAGTCAGGCTCTGTCCTTGCAGGGTTTGGCCTTGTCCCTGAACGCTGCCTGAGACTTTGACCTGGAGTGCTGATATCAACCAAGGCACTGGGATCTAGTCATCAAGTCCACAGGCCGCCTCAGGAAGTGGCCCTAGACTAGGGGTTGCACACTTTCTTGAGGGGCCAGAGAGCAAAAATGTCAGGCTATGGAGGCTGGAGAGTCTGTTACAACCACTCATCTGTGCCTTGAGTGTGTGTGCAGACACAGCTCTTGTGGACGAGGATGGGGGAGACCGACTTGCAGCCCAAGTTTCCTTACAACAGGTGGGCTGTGGACAACAGTCTGGCAGGCTCTCAAACAGTTCGACATAGCAGGACGATCACATGACCCAACAACTCTCCTAGGTGTATATCCAAAGTGAAAGCAGGCATGCGCGCAGGTCCTTGTGCACCGCACAGCCCCAGCAGTGTCAGTCACTGTAGCCAGGAGGTGGGAACAACCCGCATCCCTCCACAGGGGAGCAGGTAAACTCAGTGAGGTGTGTTCGTGTGGTGGAGTACTATGCAGCCAAGAACAGGGTGCTGTTTCAGCATGGGTTTCCATTGAAAGAAAGCATACGATCGATGACACAGGCCAGTTACTGAAAGAGAAATCCCATGCAGATGTGATTGGGGGTGGGATGCTGTGAGGAGGAAGTTGATTAGGCACAGCTTCTTTTGGGGATAATGGAAATCTAGTGTGTGGTAAGTGGTTACAGGTGGGCCACATCATCACTATTTGTATTACCTTTGAGCTGTAGACACACACGGTTAAAACGGCACATAGCACGTTACTCCAAATTAAGAAGAGGCTCACAGAGATGGCTCTTGGGCAGCAGCCTGCAGCCCCTGAATGAGACGACTGTGCCGTCGATGTAAAGGGTGGGTCGGACTCAGCAGTAACTGGGCCAGCTAGTGGGTCCACCTGAACAAAGAGGGTGAGGTGGGATCTTCAGAGGGATAACTCGTTACGGCTCTCAGTGGAACCTCAACTTCTCTTCCCTTGCCCTGACCGAAGGGATTCTCAGCTCCCGCCTCTTCACTCAGGCCCCATGCTTGCGTGGTGGCTCCACACTGCCTTGGGGTTTTCAGGTAATAATTAGGTGTGTTTGGGTAGCTGTGGGCCTGAAGATTTTGGATAATCCAGAATTCAGTTATGCAACATCAGCGTGAGCTCCATGTGTGCACATGTGCACAGGTACCCTTACATACGTGTGTATTAATAATTTTCTCAGCTCTGTGGAGTCTGTTATCGCTTGGCCGTGGTGCTTTGTGTCAGTGGCTCGGTGACCAGTGTGAGTTCCTCACATCTCTCACCTTTTTCAGGGAGCGGCTGGAGCTTCTGGAAGAAGCCAAGAAAATGGAGATGGCCAAGTTCCGATACATCTTGCCAGTGTATGGTATTTGCCAAGATCCCATGGGCCTGGTCATGGAGTTCATGGAGACCGGCTCCCTGGAGAAGCTGCTGGCCTCTGAGCCGTTGCCGTGGGACCTGCGCTTCCGCATCATCCACGAGACCGCCGTGGGCATGAACTTCCTGCACTGCATGTCCCCGCCGCTGCTGCACCTGGACCTGAAGCCTGCGAACATCCTGCTGGACGCCCACTACCACGTCAAGGTGGGGACCTCCCGTTCGGGGCCGGGGTGGCAGGGCAGGGAGTGCTGGAAGAGGGCGGGGGGCTGCGGGGTCAGGAGGAGCCTTCGGGGCAGTGTGAGGGTGGGTAAGAGCTGGAAGCAGAGGCTTCTCTTAGCTGAGAATGTCTGGGATCTCCAGTGGTTGGTGTAAACACCAAAATGTGTGGCTGGAAAATAGACTCTGAATACGGGCTGTGCCTTCCAGGCACCTTGGGGAAAGAGACTGTGGACCTGTGGATTCTGGTCTTAGTGGATGGCTTAGGACACCGGGTGGGAGATCAGGCCGACGCCCTGTGAAGCCATGGCCTTGGGCTGCCTGCCTCGGCGGTCGCAGAGGCTGGGGCAGAGGGGCTGTGGGGTGCTCTGCAGAGGAGGCCGTGGTGTCGTGGCAAAGGGGCCCCTCAGTGGGCTCCCCCTGTCGCAGTTGCGGGGCCTGGGAGCAGGGCTGCACTTCCTCCTTCTGTTTCTGGTCCGTTTATGAAACAAAAGTATGGTGAACAGTAGAACTGAAAACCAGGGACCTGCCACCTGGGATGGGCAGTCAGGGTTGCACGTCTGTGAGCATGTTCTCCGTTGGCAGGCCTTGTGGGCTGGGTGTTGAGTGGTCCACACCATGGCGGGCACGCGCCGCAGCTTTTTCCCACGTGGTGATGCTCACATGCTCTGGAGGCCCTCTCCCTTCGTCCCTTCGTCCCTTCGTCCCTTCGTCCTGTGCATCAGCGAGAAGGGTCCAATCCTGAACGATGGTCTGAGTTCCCTGCCGGGTCACGATGGGAACAGGTGAAGGGACTTGCCTGCGAGCTCTGACTTGTCGCTGTTCTGGCCACACATGCAGGACCCCTCCCTGTTGGCCCGAGAAGGAGGGACCTGAATTCAGTCTGGCCCTGCCCCTGGCTCTGCCTGGGCCTCAGTCCTCACCTGTGGCAGGATGGAGGTGCCAGCCGGCCCCCACACGGTGACTCCGTTTGCCCAGGCTTTGCCACAGGCCGCTCAGTCCTGGCTGCGCCTGCCCGAGGCCAGGGCGGGAATTCCGTTTTCACTTGGGACTGTAATTACAAGTTGTCCCTTCTGTAGGTGTCCCTCAGTAATAAGAGTTTAGCTGAGGGCAGACGCGGTGTCCTGTCTGGTGTCCTCGTGGTCGGGAAGGCTGGCTGCACACCACCAACGTGAGTCCTCACTAGCAGTGTGTGCTCTCGGGCACCTGGCGAAGACTGGACCCTTCGCTCTCAAACTCGACAGCACACAAGGAAGGGGACAGTGACAGGCCCCTGCTGTGGGCCAGGGGCCCTGCTGCAGGAGACACCCCGATCTTCGAAGTGGGGGACGGGGTGGACGGTGGCCTTCAGCTCCTGCTAAACTGAGGCCCAGAGGGATTAAATCACGGGCCAGTCATCCAGCTGGGGGAGGGGCAGGCCTCGGTCGTCACAGAGCTTCAGGCTTTTCTGGTCTCAGGTGTGGGGTGCAGGCGGGGGAGACTTTAGGTGGAGGAAGCAGCCCGAGAACTTAGAGGCGATGCTGGGGTCTGGGGTGGGGGTTCTGGAAGGCCCCTCTCCCACCCAGTGTTAGGGACTGCAGCAGTGCTAGAAGGCTGCTGGGGTGCGTGTTGGCGGCAGGTACTCCGACAGGTGTGTCTGCAGCCAGGTGCCTTCGAGGCGTCTCCAGAGTCACGGGCCCTCCTTGGCCTGGCTGGGCTTTTAACAAACTATAAAAATGATCCCTGAAAGTATAGTCTTTGGCTGGGCTTTTATATCCACCTCTCCTAACAGGTCGTGTGGAGTGTGTGGGGCAGGGGGGCCTCCCTTAGGGACCCCAGTGACAGCATCCTTCTCAGTGTCCTGCAGAGGAGCACAGCCCTCCTCCCCCGGCACCGCCCCCAGGTGGGTGGGGGGGAACCTCTGTTGTTGTGAGGGGTCCGGGACAGTCGCGTGCTTGGCCCGTGGAGGTGCTCCGTGAGGGCTCGTGTCACTGGTGTTGGTATTTCTGTGGCTAGTGGATGGCCACCCTTGCCACATCTGGGATGTTGGCATTGATCTGGGGACCATCCCAGTGCCGGGTCCACAGCAGGCACCTGCTCCTTGCTCAGTAAGGACGGTCCGAGGCCGTGGCCTTGTCCTTGTGGGTCATATCTGACTGGCTCTTAAGAGGCCTCCATGGGAATCTGCCTTTCCTTCTTCCAAGCACCCGGCATCGCAGGCCTGGGGCTGTAGGCCAGTTTAACAGACGGGCGCAGATTCTGTAAAGAGCCAAGCGGGGCCTCCCTGGGGATCCTGAGCAGGGGGCGGGGTGGAGCCTGCATGGACTGGTCTCCGTGACAGGAGGTGAGGTGACAGGAGGTGAGGTGACGCTGCTGCTTCCAGGCCCAGGGCACCCTGATGGGTCCATGTGGCGGCTTTGTTGTGACTCCCTCTTAATCAGGCATGTTACTCACCTGCACAGCCCCAGACAAACAAGTCGTGTTTACCCAGCGCATCTCAAGTCCTCAGAAATCACTAGTGGGGTGTGGGAGGGCAGCTCGGCCTTGTTTGGGGTGCCAAGTCATCGATCGATTGGCCAACCGGGCACTTTTCAGTCCGTGCTTATTTGATGCAATAAACCTTTATTCTAGAATCTTAAAAGAAGTCAGCCGGCCCTGGGTCCTCAAGACTTTCTCTTGTCCGTGGGTAGCATGACTCAGATTTCACAGGAGCTACCTATTCTGCAAAGTGTATTAAATAAAGACTTTTAAGTTCATACTTGATGTTAATAGTAAATATACCAAATATTGATAGTAAAATGTTAATTTAAATATACGAGCAGTGGCCCCACTTCAAATTGAAGATGAACTGACTAGTGTAAAATCTCGTCCTCACGCCTGGCCCAGTTCACCCAGATGGAACTTGATTCCGAGAGGTTCTGAGGGCCGTGGTCTCCTCGGTCCACAGAGAGAGGCCTTTCCCCCCAAGGCAGCCCTGCCCTGGCCTGTGTCAGTCTGGTGTGCCTGGCCGTGTGTTTGCTGTTCACAGGGGTGGCCCGGGTCCCCCGGTTGAAGAAGGGGGGCAGGCTCTGTGGAATGGGTGGGGAAACACGAGAGGAGAAATCTGTAGGCGGGGGGTCAGCCTGCACAAATCAGAATTCTGATTTCTGCATTTTGATGTCAGAGCACTTTGTACGTGAAATTTATGCTTATTTTCTTTCACTGAGTACATTGGAAGCTGGGAGCTGTGCCTAAAAACAGCAGAAATGAGGAGAAAAGGATGCCAGTGCGGGGGGGGGTGCTGGGTGCCCTGGTCTCCGTGTGGCTTCGAGCCACTGTACAAATCTGCCCGGGCGGGGCGATGGGTTCTTTCTGGGGGAACTGGCGCCTCCTTTCCAGAGCGAGGAGCCCCCTGTGGGCCAGGGAATGGGCAGCTGCTGGGAGCTCAGGAACCCCCAGCTGGCTGCCCCCATGGGCCCCGGGCGCTCTTGCAGGCTTTCTTCCCAGCACCTCCCCACAGATGTGGTCAGCGGTTCCGTGAAGGAGCCGGTCATCAGTCCTCACTCCTCCCCGCCTCCAGCAGTGGTGGTGACGCCAGGCCATTGGCTCACCTGTGAGCTGGCACAGGAGCCCGGAATTAAGCCCTGACTCAGCCCCATTTCCTACCGCTCCACGGGTGTGTTCGAGGGGGAGCCCAGGGTTGATGAGGAGGCTGAAAGGAATCCGTAAGCCCCGAAGAGAACCTCGAAGGCCTGTTTTCCTGTGGACTCTGAGCCCCTTCGTGCCAGTACCTGTGGCCTAGTCTCACCCATGCTGCTTCAGCGGCTTCCGGGGGGTGGGCTGCTGGAGGGCCAGCTGGTGACCCCTGAGAGTCTGTGTGACTTTACCTCCCCAGTGTGCGTGCCTGTGGAGGTGCAGGTGTGGGGCTGGGGTCCAGGAGCTCCCACAGGCTGGCGGACCCTGGGGACGAGGAGACGCGTGCCAGCTCTTTATTTGGGGGCGTGTGTTTGCTGGAGCGGCCAGGAAGCATCTGTGTGGAACGGAGCATTCCGGGTGGAGGGCGAGGCTGCACGGTGTGTTTTGCTCGCTTTAAAGGGCTTCCGAAGGCGCAGCTCCCTTTAAAGAGCGTGCTGCCACCTGCCCAGCTGCCCGGCCGCCGAGGTTGCACAACTGGGTTTCCTTAGTGCCAGGCGCAGCCGGCCTGGCTCACACGTGTTGTCTGAAAACCCAGAGCCTCTAAGCGTTGCCCTTTCCCTGCATGCCGATGCCAGTTGCCAACCACAGTGCAGACTCGATTCCTGGCAGACAAAGGTGATGATCCTTCTGGAGTTCTCTCTCCCAGTGAATTCCTTGCTTAGAGCGTAATCTTCCCCCCAACCCATCAAGCTTATAACGGCTCCAGACCTGGTTCTTCCTGAGCTGCTGTGCTTGCCCTCCTGCCCCAGGGAGCTCGGTCCTGGCTCTTGGTGTGAGTCCTGATTGGGCTGCCTCTGCCTGCTCTGTTACAGATTTCCGACTTCGGGCTGGCCAAGTGCAATGGGCTGTCCCGGGACTTCGGCGTGGACGGCGTGTGCGGCACCGTCGCCTACCTGCCTCCAGAGCGCTTCGGAGAGGAGGGCCAGCTCTTCGACACCAAGCACGACGTGTACAGGTGTGTACAAGGGTGTGCGGGGGCGCAGCCCCCCAGCCCCTGTGTGCTGGGCCTGGCGGGGGCTCTGCTCCCCAGTTCTTCGTGCTCTAAAGGGCAGTTTCCCAGAGGCTGCTTGCTGGGATCAGATGCAAGGTTTAGTCCAAATGAAAGCATTCGGGGCTTTCAGCTGGTGGGCACAGGCTGCCCCAGGTCCACAGGAGACAGACAGTTGTCTCCGGTGACTGCCTCCTGCCCAGGGTGGAGGGTGCCAATGGTCGTTGCCATTGTTAGGGCCAGTTACGTGACCATAACTGACAGCCTCTGCACTGGAAACGCTTTGGCGTTTTGAAATGTGTGCTGCGCAGCCCGTCTGCTGAAAGCACCCGGCTTTTGTGGTCTGTGTGTTCGGGCTTCTCCGAAACCGGGCCCTGTGGCCCAGTGGCTTGCACCTCCTGACGTCACTCGCCTGTGACAGAGGAGCTCGGGCAGCGGCAGGCTGTCGATAAATGAGCATCCGTGGGATTTGTGTCCTCGATCAGGGATTTTCATCATTTTTCACAGTGCAGACAAACTAATGACTAAAATTCTGCCGTACACCAAAAACTATATGTTTTGCTGATCAGACAAAAAAAAAATAGGTATACTTTTGATTCCTTCACCTCATACAGCTTTTTTGGTGCTGGCTGGTGACATTTTTTACTTGACAATCTAAGAGAAAGGAGGGCAGTGCCCCTGACTGAACAGTTGGGCACCGCGCGTTCGAAAACTGCCCGTGGCACTCCGGCTGAATGTTGCTGCCCCAGAGGACAGTCCCCGAGTCATTGAGGCTGCCTTCTGCCAACTGTGAAGGTCTCAGTGACAAAGAACTTCTTGGGGAAGGAGAGAGGGAGGGAGGGTACGAGCGTGCACCTGAGTCCCGGAGCTTTGCCTTTCGTCACTGCCACTGCCTGGAATCCTGGCAGACTGGTGTGACTGTGACCGTCAGGCTGCCAGCGAGTGGCACTTTGGGATGCTAGTCACAGCCTGCAGCGTTCAGGGAGGGTCAGATTATTTCTGTTAGAGAGGGGAGTTGGGATGTTTGAGCTCACAGATTTCAGTTAATATTCGACGGAGAATCCTCGGCTCTCGGTGAACAGCCACCCTCGTCTCAGAGCTAGGTGGTGGCTTAACCTTTGGGTTCCTGGTTTTTTGTTTTTCTAACTGTGCCACCAGATTGAGCCATGTTTTGGTGGATTTGAAGTCATTTTATATGTTATGTATACAGGGCAGGGCAACAAGAGGTTGATAGTTGCCCCTGTGGAAAACAATACAGCCCCGAATAAGTGAAAGCACAAGAATTAACTGGTTTGTGCATTCACAGTGGTAACCCGACTTTTGCCATGCCCTGGACATCATTCCCAGCAGCCAGGGGGGCCCAGGGTGGGGTTGCCAGCACGTTCCCTGAGCACTGTCTGCTGAGCACTGTCTCTGGCCCTCCAGTAGACTCCCAGTGACCAAGTTACCCACCAGGCCCAGCACTGTGGTCAGCGTGAGATGCCCAGTGTTTGCAGGACGGTGGCGGCGAATTCAGCCTATGGATGAATGCAGCCGATGGTGGCTCCCCTATGCGGGGCTCCCTCCCGGAGCTGGCATGTGCAGCCCCACTGGCCGGGTTTTGTCCTTTGCTGCACGTTTGAGTCATCCTCATGTCCCACAGTCAGCCTGTTTAAAACAGTTCATGAGAAATGTCTTGCTGTCATCTCTCTTGAAGACCGAAGGCGCTTTCTCTGGTGTGACGCTTTGCGTGAGAGCTGCGGCTCTGTCTGCGGGTCTGGCCCACAGACACTAACCTGCCTGTCTCCCTCCAGCTTCGCCATCGTCATCTGGAGCGTGCTGACGCAGAAGAAGCCGTTTGAAGGTGAGTGCACGCACCTTCAGGGGCAGTGCCTCCGCCTGCTCTGGAACAGCGGCGAGCCCACCACGGGGTTCTTTCTCTGCTTAGGCGGCGGCTGTGGTCTACACTCCCAGCGTAGGGGCGTCCTGAGGGAGGGGAGTGCTCTGCCCTGCCCACCAGGTTGGCATGGAGACCCGTGGCCACCTCCTCTGTGGTCGGCCCTGTGTGCCGACCAATACAGTGTTCTGAGGTGTGATTTACTCACAGGAAAAGCCCAAGTGTGCAGGGCTCTGGTCGGTGGGGTTTTTAAGGACCAACTAACTCTGACGTGTGTGTTATAATACACAAAGAAAATTGGTCGTTGTAACCAACCATTGCAAGTGTACAATTCATTGGCTTTAAGTACATTCACAGCATTGTACAATCACCATCACTGTCTAGTTCCAGAACATTCTCATCCCCCAGAAGGAAACCCTGTGCCCATTAAGTAGTTACTTCCCGTCCCCCAGCCTCGCCCCCAGCGGCATCAGCCTGCTTTCCGTCTCCAGATTTGCCTGTTGCGCTTATTTCCAGCTCGTTCTTTCTCTAGTTTTCTAAAATACACAGAAATTTACCATCTTGGCCATTTTTAAGCATGCAGTTTGGTCGTGTGCAGTCCGTTCGCAGTGCTGGGCAACCAGTGCCAGAGTCGTGGAGTGGGTTTTGGCGCAGATGGGTGACCCTGGTCGCCGACTCCCACCCCGGAGCTCTGTTGCCTTTCTCCCCCTCTCCATCCAGCCACTGCCCCCTGGTCCCTGTCCTCGGGTGTTAGAGCCCCGGCTTGGTGAAGTCAAGTACTTTGTGCCTTATTGAAGAGTTTCATTTCCTCTGTTGGCATATCTGGGCCACTCATGATACAGTGTCCTGACCAAAAATACCTAAAACCTCAGGTCACCGGCAGTGTGTGGCCCCAGGTTGTGGAACCTTTGTTGGCAGAGACTCGGACAAGGCCATTGCAGGGTGAAGCCCGTGTTGTCTTTCCTCCTGTCACCTGGTCTCCCAAACTCCTCCTCCTCCGTGGAGGTCCAGGGTCTGGATTATTTTAGCATGGCAGCATGCCAGTCTGGCAGGAAATTATCTGATGGACGAGACACCCAAGGCCAGGTACATGGCATTAACACCTAGAGCTGAGGCCCACTGCTCTGTTGCTGGGTAGACAGGGAGGGAGGAGTTCAAGGTGCAGAGGCAGAAGGCGTCTCCTGGACTTTGCGGCTAGCAGCAGAATATCCTCTGGGGGCTCAGTGTGCTTTTGCTGTACTAAGAAACTCTGTTGGGTGTTGGGAAGTCTGAGTTCTCATGGAAATAACGTGTAGATACCAACGAGAGTTATTGCTCAAGATTTAACGGGAAAGCAGAATGAAACATCAGAGCAGATCCTGGCAGCCGTCGGGGGCTTGGGGCCAATTTCCCACACCTGCTCCTCTGCCGGGACTCTCCAGGCTCACGGGAGCTCCTGGCTGTGGGTGTGCTGGGAACTGGAGTGGGGGCAGGTCTGCGGGGAATAAAGTGCTCAGAGTCCACCGCGGTGGACACTGTGGTTTTAGGCTGAGTGGAGAAAAATGTCTGGCCCACTGAAGGCCCCCTGGGGACCCTCAGTCTGTGACCAAGGAGATGCTACGGTAATGAGACCAGGTGTGTTTCTGAAGGAGGTTGGAAAGGACAGGTGGGGCCCCGCGTTATGAATTTGGGAGACCCTGTTTGCACGCCCTGTACTCGAACACTGCAAGGCCAGCCAGCCGGCCGCACCTTGGGACAGGAATCAGAATTCAGGGCGACCTCGTCATCGCAGGGGGGTTTGGATGCACGTGGGGGCTGGACGGTGAGACTCTGGCAGGCATGCATGCATGGCACCTCCCTTTGGCAGGCACGGCCACTCTGGAACATGTCTCGTCAGATATTTCCCTCCTTTGAACTCGGTTTTCCTTTGAGTTGGCTGCCCAGAAAGATTTGCTCTGTGATACGGCACAAGGTTTCCATTTAGTGTCTCAAACCAGGAAGGTGGAGGACAGGTGTGCCTGGGAAGAGAAGGTTAATGAAAGCTCTGTGCTCTGAGTAGGAATCAGGTGGGGTCTGCAGGCGTGAGCGGGGGCAGGGACACGCATTCCCACAGCTGTGGTTCCTCCCGGAGCTAAGGTAGCCGGCCCCCGGCCCCCTGACCCGCGTGCCTTCCCTTTGCAGATGACAGAAACTTCCTGCACATCATGATGAAAGTGTCAAAGGGCCACCGCCCGGAGCTGCCGCCCGTCTGCAGAGCCAGGCCGCGCGGCTGCAGCAAGCTCTTGCACCTCATGCAAAGGTGCTGGCACGGGGACCCACGCGAGCGGCCCACCTTCCAAGGTGAGTGTCCGCAGATGGCTTCCAGCGCAGTGCTCCCGAATGTTGCCGCTCGGCCAATCGGCTGGGGTCCCAGGAGAGAGGAGATGACTAGGACAGGGTCTGGGGTGGGGGCTGGCCCCGAGGGGGAGGGCTGTGCAGAGACAGTGCACCCAGGCAAGTGCCGCAGGGGACAGCTCGGCCTTGGCATCTGCGGGCACAGGACTGGGTGGCTGGAACTTCAGGTCAGTGCTTAGCCACCCACCCCGCTGCAGCCCGGGGCTGGGCTTGCTGCCCGGAGGAGCCTGCCCTTGGTGTTTCAGGGTCACGTACAGCAATGCATCTTTTAGGGACTGGCCTGACTGCTGGCCTGTGGCTTTCTTTCCTTTTTTCTTGGGGTCTTGTCCCCATGGAACAGATGTGTCACTTGGTTAGGACGTGACCTTGGTGGGTTTGAAACTGATCACTGCATTTAAAACACAGACCCATGAGTGAGGTGGGGCCGGGGCGGGGGCATGTGCCGGGTGCTGGTGGGTCTCGTCCTGTTGCCCGGCTCTGGAAGGCTGCTTTGGGACCCTGGAGCACTGTGACTCCTTGAGTCTGGTGAGACCTGCACAGGGTGGCTGACCATAGGCCCTGGGGTGGACTGTGAAGTCCGCTGGGGGCCAGCATGGAGGGAAGTCACTGTGCTGATGGAGTCCTTGAGCTGCAGGTGCTTTGGGTGTCGCCTCTGGCACCCCCACTTGTGGTGGCCTGTTTGCGTCGAGTGTATGCCAAGGTCATTGTCCAAGTGACGCGTCCTGTCTTGTTTTCTCCCCATAAGAAATCACTTCCGAAACCGAGGATCTGTGTGATAAGCCCGATGAGGAGGTGAAAGAAACAACTCAAGATCCAGATGCAAAAGACCCTCCGGAGCCCAAGAGTGAGGTACGGGGACTGAGAGGCAAACTCGGGGCTGTGTGGGGGTCGAGTTTTCCAGACCAAGGCCTCTTGTCCGCAGGCTCCCCCGCCAGCCTGGGCCCCTCATCCCCTCATTCCGAGGCTCGGCCTGACCTCTTGAGCCCATTCCGCATCAGACGGTCATGGCAGCCTTGTGCTTAGTGACAGAAGGGCCACAACACACTTGGTGGCCCCGGATTTATTCCCTGCCCAACTGTGCCCAGTCCCCACCGCCTGTCTGGTGACACATGAATGGTGTGGGCCTATGTGTGATATTAAAAAACCACAGCCACCAGGTGGGCGCTCTTTGAACTGGGGGACTGAAGGCCCCTGGCAGGCCTGGTTGGCAGGGACAAGGGAGACCTGGGCTCTGAGGGTCTTGTCGCACGTGGTTTGTTCAGTGAGTATCACATGGGCAGAGTAAGGTGTGATGAGGAGCTCCCAGGGCTGGAGCTTACAGTAACTAACCTGAAACGTGTGCTCTGCTGTGGAGAACGCACCCCAGGCTGTTGGTGTGGGGCTGGGAGATAAGCGAACATTTATGGAGCTTCCACCGTCTGAACAGCGTGTGCCCGAGGTTGGGGAGCAAAGGTGCCCTGGGGAGGCGACCGGCTCCCCTGATAAGGAAAATGTGGGCACTGGACAAATGGGTGTGGTTCGTACACCACACCACCAGGTCAGCGCAGATCAGCACCTCCCCAGGAGAGGGAGGGTTCGGGGTCAAACGGACACGAATCAGGAAGAGTCCCGAAATCAGCGGGATGTTTGCCTGCGCTGATGTCTGGTAGGGAAGCCCTCCCAAGGCTGAGTCACAGCGCCGTTCCCGTAGCTGCGCCCCAACCCTGCCCTGTGCACGCACAGCCCCGAGCCAGGCTCTTACAGCTCCTAGGAGAGGGTGCAGGTTGCAGGCAGTGTGGGGTGGCGGGAGGAGGGGGTGCCCCAGCCGCTGTCACCCCTCTCTTTGCTTTGTACCTGTGCTGACCCGCTTGGCGAACACTGCCCAGCCCTCAGTTTCATGTGCTCGCAGCCTGGTGACGTTTGCTTTCTGACCCTGTAATCTGCCACTGCACGGTGGGCCCAGGGCAGCCTGGTAGTGGCCTTTGCATTTTTCTATCGAGTCAGGCTTTCCTTACAAGGTCTTTCTGCCCTGTGGGCCAGCAGGGTGTCATTGGGCTCCACCAGGCCATGCTGAGGACAAGCAGGAGCTCCATTCCCTGCACAATGAACTGGGGACCCCGCGTTCCCCTTCCTTCCCCACCCCCACCGCCTTCCCCTATTGCTGGAGGGAGCCTCATGCCCCGCCCTCCGTGTGTCCTTGCAGGCACCAGTGTCCACGCTCAAGCGAGCCTCGGCCCCGGCCTTCGATAAGGACTACAGCCTGTCCGAGCTGCTGTCGCAGCTGGACTCGGGCATCTCCCAGACGCTCGAGGGCCCGGACGAGCTCAGCCGCAGCTCCTCCGAGTCCAAGCTTCCGTCAGCGAACAGCGACAAGCGGCTGTCGGGGGTGTCCTCCGTCGACTCTGCCTTCTCCTCCAGAGGGTCCCTGTCGCTGTCTTTCGAGCGGGAACCTTCCACAGGCGGTGAGCAGAGGGCCCTGTGCTGGGGGAAGTGACAAGCGTCATTATGGGGACGGCAGCGGGCAGGGGAGATGACCACAAAGAACGAGGCGCCCTGGTTCCTGACCCGACTCCTGGTTCTTTGCTTCCTCCCTCCGGTCGCTGACTGGTTTGGGGTGTTCATTGCATTGTAGCTCCCTGAGTCCAAACCCCAAGATATGCCCTGGCCAGGCTGGTGACAGTTAAGTGTTAACGGGCTGCACACCTGGCCGTGCGGGAGGGGGGGGGGAGGAGCCTCCAGCCTTCGTCAGAGCCTGGCCCAGCCTCCAAATGGGGCCCCACACCCCTCGTCCCATTAGCAGTCACCGCCATCAATGATGAGCCACCCATACAGGATGGTGAGCATGGTTTTTATTTTGCAAATTGACAGAGGGGCCCCTTGAGGTCATTCATGGGCCTGCCCACCATGTCTGGGATTAAACAGGCAGGGACAATAGGGGAAAAGTGACCTGGAGGCTGTGGGGAGGCACGGGCCCCATCTGGCCACCAGCCCAGCTCAGGGGAAGCCTGTGGGGAGCAGCCTCGTCTGACCCTCCCCGGCATCTGCTCTCCCTGCAGACCTCGGCACCACCGACATCCAGAGGAAGAAGCTGGTGGACGCCGTTGTGAGTGGGGACACCAGCCGGCTGATGAAGATCCTGCAGCCGCAGGACGTCGACCTGGTCCTGGAGGGCGGCGGCAGCCTGCTGCACCTGGCCGTGGAGGCCGGGCAGGAGGAGTGCGTCAAGTGGCTGCTCCTCAACAACGCCAACCCCAACCTGACCAACAGGAAGGGCTCCACCCCCCTGCACCTGGCCGTGGAGAAGAGGGTGCGGGGCGTGGTGGAGCTCCTGCTGGCCCGGAAGATCAGCGTCAACGCCACGGACGAGGACCAGTGGACGGCCCTCCACTTCGCGGCCCAGAATGGAGATGAGGGCAGCACGAGGCTGCTGCTGGAGAGGAACGCCTCCATCAACGAGGCGGACTTTGAGGGCCGCACGCCCATGCACGTGGCCTGCCAGCACGGGCAGGAGAGCGTGGTGCGCATCCTGCTGCGCCGCGGGGTTGACGTGGGCCTGCAGGGGAAGGACGCCTGGCTGCCGCTGCACTACGCCGCCTGGCAGGGCCACCTGCCCATCGTCAAGCTGCTGGCCAAGCAGCCGGGGGTGAGCGTGAACGCCCAGACGCTGGACGGGAGGACGCCCCTGCACCTGGCCGCCCAGCGAGGGCACTACCGCGTGGCCCGCATCCTCATCGACCTGAACTCCGACGTCAACATCCGCAGCCTGCTTGCACAGACGCCCCTGCATGTGGCCGCAGAGACAGGGCACACGAGCACCGCCAGGCTGCTCCTGCATCGGGGTGCCAGCAGGGAGGCCGTGACCTCAGAGGGCTTCACTGCCCTGCACCTGGCTGCCCGGAACGGGCACCTGGCGACCGTCAAGCTGCTGGTGGAAGAGAAGGCTGACGTGCTGGCTCTGGGGCCCCGGAACCAGACGGCGCTGCACCTGGCCGCGGCCGGCGGGCACACGGAGGTGGTGGAGGAGTTGGTCAGTGCCGACGTGCTCAACCTGTCTGATGAGCAGGGGCTCAGTGCCCTGCACCTGGCCGCCCGGGGCAGACACGCCAAGACGGTGGAGACGCTGCTCAAGCACGGGGCGCACGTCAACCTGCAAAGCCTCAAGTTCCAGGGCAGCTACGGCCCTGCCGCCACGCTGCTCCGGCGAAACAAGACCTAGCTCGCCGCCCTTGGAAACTGGGGCCCCATGCAGGGTTCTGGTCCCATCGTCATGATTCACGGTGGGGACAGAAAGATGCCGTGCTGGCCAGCAACCCTCACCTTGTTGATGGCCCGGTGGCACGTCAGCCGAACAGGCCATCAAGAGGGTCCTGACTCTGGACGCGTGCCAGGAGTCTGTCTGTGCGGGTTACCCTCCAAATGAAGGTGGTTAAACGGTGCTGATCCGTCCACCCATCAGTGAGTGTGTGCCCAGTGTCCGAGGCACGATGGGTGGAAATCATTTCACTGTGGTCCTGCCTCTGAGGCAGGCCCCTCGGTGACAGTCACGGGCGCTGTCCAGTCCGCTGTGTCCCGAGTGGAGCCTCCGGGGCGCCCCAGCCTGAGGATGCAGGGGCGGGAGGAGCTGTGTGTTTCATGTCCATTTACAGCGGCCAACGAAGCAGATCGTTTCGGAGTGTGTCAGTGGGATTCTTGTGTTACGAACACCCTCAGTAGGCGAGCACAGCATCAACTGTTCCTGTAAACCTCCTAAAAACATTCGTAGCATCTGATAGTCTGGCCTGTGCATGTTGTGTAAAAACTGATACTGTTTGTTGGTCAAAGCTGATAAGTTTCCACCTCTGACCCTGAAATTGCATCTCCGTCATTCCTTGGGACAACATGCCTTCCAGCGGGCCTGTTGCTGTCATTCATGTCTTATTGCATAAAATGTGTTTTGAATCCTGGAGCCAAATATGCAAGAGGCATTTAAAAATTCGCCTGTCACCTCAGTTTCGTACTCAGAACAGTATTACCTAGTTGGGTGAACCTCCTCACTTGTCTTCTTCCCGGCTGCCATGTTGGGGGTCTCAGACAGGCTTTCTGACCTGCCTGCAGACCTCGAAGCTGGGTAACCCGCAAGACAGCCCCAGGAGACCAGCCGACGCTCTCGGCTCTAAAAGATGCGGTGACCTAGCCCTGTTCACCCTGTCATAGGCACTCCATGTGGCAGGCCCCCCCAACTTTGTTATGAGAGTGCATTTGCCGCGGGAGATGGTTCTGTTTGCGAACGTGACTTGTGCTGTATGATACAGAGATTGATATTAATATACCATGTATATTAATGTGAGTCTGTGGGCTGGATATGTCTTTTCTATGACAAGAAATACCCAGACTGCTTAGAACTGGCTATGTTTTAATATGCCTCGTGCTTTCCCTATGACGTGCTCTATTTTAAAGATTGCTTGTAACACAAAAGCTTGGACGTAAATAAATAAAGCTATGTTGTTGTCTACCGTTTTTGAAGTCAGTGAGTCTGCTTTTTCTTATGAGTGAACCTGAGTAGGTGGATGTCTGGAAACCAGAGAGGTTCGGGCTGTCCTGTGTCCTTGGAGGTGCCCCTGCAGAAGGGTAGTCTGTGGGTGCTGAGTGAGCCACCTGATGTGGGGGGGGGACGCAGGGAGGGGGAGGAGTGACCTGGGCTTCCTGCCTCCTTCCTGGACCCCCGCCGTCTCTGAACCAGCGGGGGGGTGGGGAGTGGGGGGGTGGAGAGGGGGTTAGCCTTGACAGAAGAAGCTCCCATACCACAGTTTCTCTCTTTCTAAGAGTTTTATAATTCTTACTTTCACTTGTTAACTTTACAGTTTGAAATAATTTCAAATTATAGAAAAGTGGCGAAATCGTACAAAGAAGTCAGGTGTGCCCTTCACCCAGATTCCCCAGTCTTTACATTTTCAGCTCACTTGCCTGATCGTTCTGTTTTCTTTCTCATGTACCCTCTACCCATTCATCCATGTATCTGTCCCTCCGCCTGTCCATCTGTCCATCCACCCACCTGTTTAGGTCGCAGACAGCGTGCCCAACCCCAAATACTTGTGTGTATTTCCTAAAAACAAGGATTTTCTCTTCTGTAGTCAGTGGAACTGAACCCACACTGTCTGAGGTCTGCCTGTATTTACATCAACGTGGTTCAACTCCATCGTTACCATTATCTTGATGTTCAAGGTGACCCATGTGACCAGGTTGCCTTCGTGCAGGCTCTGGTGTGCCTCGGCCACATCCCTGCCACCCTTAAGCATTTCGTGCAATGAGACAGACCTGGGAAGTGTGTGTAACTCGCATGTGTGTAAACGTACCCATCTCATTTTTTATCAGGGACCTCGCCGATGCCTCTAATCACAGTCTAACTCCCCGGGGTTATTCCAGTTAATGCATATTCGATCTGCTTCCGCTGACAGAGGGTCGATCCCTGGCACCCTCAACATGCCTGCATAATTGTCCACCTTGCGTGTGCAAGGAATCTCCCTGCCACTGTGCTGGCGGCCTCAGCCTATGTCCACGCACGAGGGCTGAGCCAGCCTTGTGCCCAGCAGTGTGCCAGTTAAAGTCGCTGACCTATGAAGTGACAGGGTTGTTTTTTTAAAGCCTTTTGTGCCAGAGCCAAGAACTATTTCTCACTGAAACGGCCATTTGGCTTATCTTTCCCTTTTTGTCCACCAGGTACTTTCACATTTTTCTTTATCCCTTAAGATAGTAAGAGTTTAACAAGGTTACAGTTCTTCCCAGAAAACTTGGGCACTATTCTCCCCCTTCCCTCTGAGCCCTAGTCCATGCTTTTTCATTCAGGAGCGTGCTGTGGCTGGAAGACTGCGTGAACTTTTCTCCTGGACCTTCTACTCTGGTCAAAACTGCCCCTTTGTACCTGGGAGGATATCAAAGGGAGTCAAACCTTCTGAGCGGGCTGTGGCTCTGAGGCTGGGTCCTCTGGACACCCTCGGCCAGTCCCTCCTGGGCCACGCCAGAGACCAGCCTTCAGCAGTTCTGAGACCTGTAGATGGCAGGTCCCAGGAGAAGTGGCTGCCCCGGCTGAGCCCGCCAGGCACAGAGCAGTGCCCTCCCTCGCGGACGTGCGCATTCACGGGTGATCTTGCTCACTGCGGCCCAGCAGCCAGGGAATGACGCCAGAACAAGGGGGCGCGGCACCAGATGGGCCCTGGTTACGGACCGGGGTGTCTGGTTGGGGACACCAGCTAAGGTCTCGGCCTCCGCTTCAGTCCTGTCACTTCACATTCCACCAGCCGGGCACAAAGAGCCCCCATCTGTGAATTGCTCAGACCCATTTTACCTCCAGCCAAATGATGTGCGGGCCCCCAGGCTCCAGTGCCTTGTGACTATTGCTGATGCCCTCACAGACACATACCTGAAGCCATGCTCTTTAAGAACAGAGAGTGTGGACACCTGACCTGGGAATGGTGTGTCCCTTTGGGTGCCATGGTTTCATGACTCTGTGTCCTACAAATCTTAAGAATTTGGGTGCAGAGGCCTGAAGTCCCGGCTGGGTGAGGGCAGCTGTCAGTCAGCCTCCCGATGCCCTCGCCTTGAGGACTGGCCACACAGGCCCCTGTGTGTCCCAGGGCTTCCTTAGCGAACAGCTGGCTGACCCCTTGGCCGCTGTTCAAGGGACCTGTCCATCTTCCAGGTCACTGGACCTGATTCCAGCTCTCTGGGGCCTTTGTTTGCCGTAGGCATTTCTTTGGGCCAGGTATTAGCTGCTTATTTCAAAAGCATGGGCGTGGTGGGCGGGTCAGTAAGGCTGCCTGTCGGCACTGGAGCAGGAAGGAAGCAGGCACTGCAACAGTTGCCACTCCGAGGAGAGGGAGTCCTCACCTCCTCACCGCTTACGTCTGGACGGCCAGGTGCTGCAGAACTTGGACTCTTAATCCTGGACTTTTTCCCTCCACTTACTCTTCTGCCTTCATTCTCTCCCTCTAACCACCTTCCTGCCATCCTCCTCCTCCCTCTCTTCCTCTGTCCCTCTCCCCCTTGGTGATTAGTTGTCATGTGAACTCAGGGGTTTGGAACTCCACCACACAAGGCCCTGCACCAACACTGTGATCAGGGGGACAGCGGCACCGATGGTGACGGAGTAAGGAGGGACAAGGGACACTGGCTGAGCGGTCTGTTCCACACAATGATACTAGTCACTGCTGTAGGCCATGGCAAAGAAAAATGTACAGTGTCAGGAATGGCTGGATCTAGGTGTTCACACAGTGGTACCTTTCCTCAACTCCTGGGCGGGTCCCTTTGCTAGAAAAACAGTCCTGACCCCTCTGAGCTTCAGTAACCTAAGCTCCAGGATCCCAGTAGAAAGAGCTCTTTTCCCCTTCTAAAACCCCAAATTAAACACAATTCATAGATTCTTAGATACTTGTTTTTAGCCCTGAGAATTATGGCATCTTACAGTTGAAATGGGCATCATATTTTGCTTTTAGAGGTGCTTTCGATAGTGACACATTTTATAGCATGACATCTCAGGACTGATGCAATGTGGCCGACCGTCTGCCTGGCTCTGCTCTCTCCCAAAATCATTTGTGGGAAGAAAATGTTCTGGTCGACCAAGCTGGGCCAAGCCAGTTCATTCTCCCTGACTGCGGTGGGTGGTAGTTTTCTAAAGGAAAATTAGGGTGCTCTTACTGGAAAAGGGGGCAGGGGGGTGGTAGTTGCAGCCACACAGGGCCTGTCTGGAAAGGCCACAGAAGATCCGGAACAACCTGCAGGTGTTGTGTGCGAAATGTGCGTCTGCGTTTTCTCAGGGACACAGACAGAGGGCTCTCCGACCCGCAGCGCCCCTCTGGGAGAAGGGCGGTGGGTGTTCTGGAAGGATCACCCGTCAGCCCAGCAGTGGAGAGGTTGGCAGGTGACTTTGAAGACATGGTGGGTCAGAGAGCGAACCTGCCCGCCCCTCCCCCCACAGGTGTATCAGAGCTGGGAGAAGAACCCTGTTCTGGCTCCCAGTGAAGCCCCCAAACCAACCACGGAGTGAGGAAGAAGGTTGTCTCCAGTCACTGAGCTCCGCCTGAGAGAGGAGGTGCACAGCCGAGCTCCCTGTGCAGAGCCGGGGTCCTTTGCAGAGCCAAGCCCCGGTGATTGCACGGAGCTCGGGTCCCCGCCGAGGAGAGTGGCACCCACGTGTTCCTAAGCCAATGGGGACACCTAAGAAAGCACCCACATAACTGAAGGGGATGAAGCCCCCAAATAATGCAGAAAGGCTCGTTCGGAACAGCCCTCTTGCTGGGGTGACCACCTCCAGTGACTGCAGGAAGGAAAAGCCCTTCTGCAGCTGCGGGGTGCCTGCCGATGAAAGGGTCAGCACAGAGCGAGCGGTCTGCCTGGCCAGTGGCAAGTGCTGGACTCACCATGCAAGAGCTGCCCGGGTGGCATGGGAAGGGCACAGAGCCCGTGAGACGCTGTCTTGGCCTTCAGGGGAAGGGGAGGGAAGTGATGTGTGATGACGCTGGAGGACCCCGTGCTGGTGACGTGCCCCAACACGAGGAGCCCCAACACGGAGCTGAGCTGGTCTTTCCAGGGTGGATGGGACGGGTCAACAGAGGAGCGAAGCCTTTCATTCTGCCTGGAATGGAAGGGTCTGAAGGAGGAAGGGAGGGAGGGGACAGAGGACGTGTCCCAAGGGAGGCACTTGCAAACACCTTCCACAGCAATGGCAGAAGGTGGCTTCCTGGGGTCTCCCTTTATGCAGGGACAGGGCAGAGTTGTGTTGTGACAGGCCCCCCTGGTCCATGTGATGAAGCTTTTCTCAGCTTGATGGGGCTGTTTCCGGAAGCGGTCACCCAGGGGCCAGCCAGGGCCTGGCTGACACTTACGTGGCAAGATGGTGTGGCTCAGTCTGCTGGCCATGTGGTCGGCGCACTTCTTCCCTGGTTCACGACAAGAGAAGCACAGACAGTGAGAACAAGCTTTGGGGACATTAACAACCATGTGACAGAGTGAGTTGATGATGGTTAGATGTGACCATAATAATGTGACTCTTCAGGGGTGCAGGCCCAGACTCCAAAGGGAGAGAAGATGGGAGAGAAACAGGACGGCCGAACGTCTCCCCCAGGAGCAGGGAGACCCAGGCCTCTCCCGCCCTGTGCAGCTGCTGCTCCCGCCCTGCCCACACTCCATCGAGAACAGTCAGGCTTGAATCAGCTGGGCCTGGACCCGGTGACTCCAAGTGTGGGGGTGGGGAAGGAGCTCAGGAGGAGGAATTAGGTTGATTCTATATACGGGGTGGGGGACCCTGATATACTAGGGTTATCTTCTGGAAGACCGTCCCCTGGGAGTGTTCTAGGAATCCACCTGTACCAGCGTACAAGCTGGCGCTGTTGTGAGAGGCTGGGTTCGGTGAATTTTTTTGGAAGACTTTTTCACGGTGTCTTCCCATGTCACGATGGGTGATTTACCAGCACACCTGCCCACACCATGCTGAGTGTCCAGCAGGTTTTGGCT